TGTTCTGGGGAAGTGTGTGCTTGTCTCACCATAAAACCACACTTCCCAGATTGCTTTGCATTGTTTCTGAATAAACTCTTTTTGCTGGTAAAAATAACTGGCTCTTTAATTTCTTTGAAGTAAAAACTGTCATCATGTGGTTTACATCCTTTAAATCCCATCCATCCACCTGCCCACCCACCCACCTCTCCCACTAGGTGCTAGTCATTGAAACTGATGTAAATTAGGTACAGTTACTGTTCCCAAGGAGCACTTGGGCAGGACAGCGTGGAGGTCCCGAAAGCTGGTGCTAGTGCTGTTATCACACACTTAAAGAAATTATTCTGCAAAGAACTCAGTATACCGATTGTGATTGGCATAGGAGTTTGTGGAAAGACGGTCACCAAAGGCTTCCCATATAAGTTTTCTTACATTGGAATGTAATACTATCTCAGTCTGAAGAGCTCTCTCTTTGACAATTTGTTTATTCTAACACGCAAATGAAATTTCAATGTTCCACAAATTAGATTAAGGCCATTGTTGCTGACAGGAATACATAGCACCATTTAGCTTCTCCCTGTAAGTCCAACCATCTCTGTCATCTTTAAAATATAACGAGTTCATCTATCACTGCTGATGTTTGACAACACACTAATGTCTAACCAGGCTGCAGCGTGTTTAATGCAAAGCAGACTCTGGGAAGATGTAGCTGAGGTGCGATTAACTTGGAGAATTGAAACTTTGGAGTCTTGGGGCCTCCCTGGTGAACTGGGGGTTGTCTCAGTGCTATCAAGCCATCGCCGGACACTACAGCATGAGTTCGATCCCTGGCCAGGGAGCTAACCCACATGTGACAGAGTTGGCCTCTGCTGTCTCACCCACTGCTCCGCTCAGCAGTGTATTTCAGTAGATCTGTTTGTTCTGCTTCTCACTGTCTGGTGAATCCTCTCACACCCTCCCCTGGCCCCAAAATAAAACTTTGGAGTCTCATTGTATGTGTATATGTCCACAGTGGCACGAGGGGGAACACTCGTGTTTTCACTTATTTGGATGTCTCTGAGTTAATTGTAGTTGTTGTTATGTTAGTGTGTAAGCATGCCAGAAGAGAAAAGAAAATCCTTACAAACTCTTGCTGGATTGTACCTACATATCTTTAAATTCACACTAAAAGAATGACAGTTACAGAAATCCCTTTCTACCCTCACTCTATCTTTACACTGATTTTCTAGTATTTATATTTTAAACAGTATGAAATCACCAGAAACTTCACAATGTTTATGTGAAACCAAATCATGTTTGATTGCGGCTGAATAAAATTAACCTAACAGATGTAGAGTCTGATTTCAGTTTACGGTCTACAATATTTATATTTTTGTGATTGTAATTTTTTCATAAGCTAATTTATCTTCTATATGCTATATACCAACAATGATTTCCTTCTCTTGTGACATATAATAAGAAGTAAATTTGGGTTTCTGAGGCCCGGGCAGTAAGATAGATTTTAGTCCTTTTGTAATCTGAAGAGCTGAAAGAATAAAAAGTAAGCTCAGGATTGAGCAACAACACAGTTGTAGCCAGAAAGTTCCATAGCCTTCCCCTCCCTTACTTGTCTTTTGGTGTTTTAGGGTGGATGCATGACTTGTGAATTTTCTAATCCTCACTTTTCTGGTGCGCATGGAAAGAGATAGTATGTGATATCCATCATCTATTGTCTTGTCTTTCCTGCAACTCAGGATGCTACCCATTCCATTTCTCATTTTTTATAGGGCTGAGGCAAAGATCCAAAACCACAGAGATACGTAAGAGAGAAAGAGAGCACAGTCTCCTCACACTGGAGTTTCCAGAAAGGCTAACGAGACACAGGAAGCAGCAGATCACTTCCTGTGACCTTCTACCGCATACAAGTAGCACTGATGAAAACTTCCTGATCTTTTCAGGAAGAAAAGAAAGAGAGAGTAAAGCTAGCAGCATTGCAAATTTGTTCATTCATTTATTCACTTATTCGACTAATACTTATTGGGTGTTTATAGGGCACCAAACTCCAAGGCTGGTTCTGGGAATTTGAAGGTGAGTTACCGCCCCTGTCTTCAAGGTGTTTCAGTCTAGCAGGGAGAAAGAAATATACACTAGTAATTAAAATTGCTAAGGTGATCATTAAAATTGAGAGCAGCTTTGACAGGAAGAGCACAGACGCAGAGATACAAACTCACCCTCTTATTGAGCTTCATAACCAGGAGCAAGATGCTTAATGCTTTTGTTCTTGTTTCTTCATCTTTGGGGACGGGAGGTCATCCTCTAACTTGAACTGCTTGACACATAGTGGGCATTCAGTAAATGGTAGCTTGAGGTTGTGCTAGTGAGACCCCTGGTGGGGTCACGTGAGAGTGACCTTCATTGCAACTAGCAAGGAAATGCTGTGATGGAATTTAGTTCCTCTCTCCCAACTGGTCATCGTCACTAGGTAGTGAGATTTTAAAGGCTAGGGAATGCAGCCGGCTGCTCTAAAAAACACACTGCCTTTTTTGGTGGTGTCCCAATTTCTGACACTTTAGTGTGTTCCACATGACTCACCTTTTTGCTGCTTAGCTCCTTGTTTACTTGAAGAACGCTGCACTTCCACCAGCTCCCTTCTCTTCTTGGCATCCGTGTATTTTTCCTCATGACCTTCTCTCCACTCTGATTTACTGTGTTTGAAGAGTATTCTGCTTTGAAGTTATATCATACATATGTGTGTTGACTCTAAAAAGCCAACATTTGGGCATTGTTTCTATTTGTGAACGAGAAGCTATCCGCTAATGTTTATTGAACTATTATTGTTATGTACTGCATGTTTTATCAGGAGTGCATCTCACGCTACCTGGGGATCTTGTTAAGATGTGGGTTCTGATTCATTTGATGGGGGATAACCCAAGAGCACATTTCTAACAAGCTGCTGGTGGCCCATAATGGCATTTTGAATAGCAAGGCATCGGATCATTTGAGCTTGATAAGTCTTTCCACTTTACATATGTGGAACTGCAGGTTAGAAGACTTAGGTCATTTTCTTAGTTCATGTGCTAGAAAGCAGAATTCAGACCTTAAACACAGGTCCACCTCTTGGTAGAGTGTCCATTTTCTGGGTTTTGGAAATTATGCCACCTGAAACAGAATTCAGTTTTTAGCTGTTCATTTGTGATGAAACTTCTTTTCCAATTTAATTTTTCTCCCTACAAGGCCTTGTATGACATGGTGACTCATCACCGTGTCGAACTTTGGATTTTGTTATTCTAGATGATATGTAAAGTTTAGTATGATTTATTTGCCTAAATTATATTTAGGAAACATTGTGCCATGATGTAGTCTGGATTGAACACAAGAGGAAATGGCTGGGGAAGTGTGCATATGAAGAAAGGAAATCCTTAGGTTGATTTATTGTTGAAAGCTGTGTGTTATGCCTGCCACAGGCTGGTGGAAAAGGACAGCGTCCCTGTCCTTAGCAGATCACATAAATTAAAAAAAAAAGATAATTTAATGATATTTTGGTTTATAAAATTAATATGGTTCATAATAGAAACATTTTGCACTATGGCAATGTAAAATAAAAAAAAATTATAAAATCCCATAGGCTACTTTTTCACTTTTCAAATTTTCTTTTTTTTTTTAAATGTTTATTGAAGTTAACATTGCATGATAACAGTATATAAGCTGCAGGTGTTGAACACATCTTGAAAGGGTGACCTGGGACCACATTGACACAGAACAGCAAGAGTTCAGTGGGGTAATATCTTGCATAAATAACGTAAAGACTATTTTTAGTTTGGAGGGAGTAATGAGCAGCGGGAGCAAAGAGGCCAGAGGTAGAAGTCCCCAAAAGACGGAAGAAACGCGAATGCACGGCTTCAGCCAGCGGGAGAGCTCAGGGGCACGTCCCAGCTTTCTGCAAGGGTCCCAAAGCCTAGCACGACCTGCCCAGCCCAGCTCCGAGGCTCATCGCCCTGCAAGGGGCCGGCCGTCCGGACGCATGCGCGGTGGCGCACGGGTCCGAGGGCTTTGCGCTGCCCAGTGTCTCCCGGGCGGGTCTAGTGGGGTCGCCAAAGGGCCAGGACCGCGACGCCCAGCAGTCCCAGCCCGAGAGGGGCGAGCAAAACTCTCCAAGTGCCCAACACTTGGGGCTGAAATAGGCTCCGGGTTCAGGGGTGGCTTTCTGCAGGCGTCTCCAGATCCCACACACTCTCCAGTTGCCCAAACATCCCAACGGGGAGGCACCCAAACTCCCACACCCGGGCCGTGGAATTACCTGCCCGTGGAAGAGAACTGGGGGGCTCGAACTGGTGGAAAGCGTGAGTGGGGGGCTGCGCCTAAGCCTTCCAGCGCCGCGTTCACAAGTCCCTGTGCTTCTTATTAATTCTTTTTAATTTCTCTGGAGAGTCCGGGCGCCCCAATAAATCCGTGGCTCCTCTGAGACCCTTAAACGAAAACTGTCCTCGCCCTTTCGGGGCTCCCAAGGGGAACCCCACCGTAGGACAGCGCTCAGCCACACTCAGCCGTCCCAGAGCAAATAAATCCCCTGAAGCCTGGGGGTGGGTGGGGGGTGTCAGCGCCGCCACGCGCAGGGCGCGCGGCGAGCGGGGGTGCAGGGCTCCCCATAGCCGCCCCCCGGCCCCCGCCCCGCCCCTCTCCCCCGCCCCGGCCGGCGACCCCGGACCGGGGCTGCGCGCGCTCTCCCACCCGCGCCTCTGGGGACTCCAGACGGCAGCCAGCCCGGCCCGCGCGCTGGGCATGCTCAGTGGCCGGGCGCCCCGCTCCCGAGTCGGAAGCCTGTGCGCGGCCGCCGGCGCGGAGCCGGCCCGGGCGCTCGCGGGGCGCGCGGGACTCGCTGCAGCGGCGGTGGAGCGGGGCCGAGACCCCCGCGGACCCCCGCGCGGGACCCCCGCCCCGCCCGCGCGGCGCCCGCAGCCTCGCGCGCTCCCCGGGAAGCGGCCGGCCACGGCCGGCGTCGGCGGCCCCAGCGCTGCCCGCCCCGGCCCGGCCGGGCTCCCGAGCCGTCGGGCATGGAGCCCTGGAGGCAGTGCGCGCAGTGGCTCATCCACTGCAAGGTGCTGCCCGCCAACCACCGGGTCACCTGGGACTCGGCGCAGGTGTTCGACCTGGCGCAGACCCTCCGCGATGGAGTCCTGCTCTGCCAGCTGCTCAACAACCTCCGCGCGCACTCCATCAACCTCAAGGAGATCAACCTGAGGCCGCAGATGTCCCAGGTAAGGAGGCCTCGTGCCTCCCCCTGCAGCCGGCGTCTCCCATTAATTATCTGGTTAATTTCTTTGTGTAAATGCAAACATGTAGGTGCGCTCGGGCTGGAGCCTCCCAGCCTTCTGCCTTGGGGACCACTTGGCTTTTCTTACCTTGGCTTGGCATGATTTCTCTTTCTTTTTCTTTTTCTCTTTGTGATTTCTAGCTGAATGTCAAAACCCTGCCTGCAGAGATGCTATGAGGGTTTGGAAAGGCTTTCTAGGAGGCGGGGTGGGGGGCTCCCTTAGGGTGCCCTTCACCTACTTTTGTGTGCGATGCAGAGGGCAACAAAAGGAATTTGCTCCAGCTCTTGTGTAATAACGTGGAGAGGGATGGGGGTCGGAACTGTGCCGTTAGTGTTGTTCTTTTTGCTTTGCGTTTTGTCCCCTGGTTGAAAGAGGAACCGTGACATTTACGAGGACTCTAGGAAGTGGAGGGCGTCTCTGTCCCGTTATCTCTGCAGGAATGACATTGGTCTCAGGGAGGAGAAGGGAGCAGGAAACAGCGACTGCCCCCCCCCCCAAAGCTCCCCGAGATTGTGACCAGCTGGCAAGCGAGGTGCTTGTGTTTACAGCTCTTTAAAGCCATGTGAGGAGGGAGTCCAGCAGTGACGGAAAACGAGAAGTTTCACTCGAGATTCTGCTTTCCTGCATCCGCGCTGCACTCGGGAGGTGTGCACCCTGGGCTTGCGACTGCAGCTTTTGTCTGGAGGTCCCTGATGCAGGGGTTGCCGAGAAAAGAGGCAACGCTGGAAAGCTGTGTGCCTATGACAGTCACTTCAAAAGTTGCAACTCAGTGGAGGAGTGGTTTCTCCGTCCTGTCAAAGCTTTTTTTTAATGAAAAGAAGTTAAACACGATTTAGCACATCTATTTTCTCTTTCATAATGTAAACAACCACGTTGAACTTGAAAGGGTTGGCACATTTCAGCAGGAATCCTGAAAGACAGAAGAACTTCAGATACTTCCCAACTAGAGCAGTACCTTTTATGAAGGCAGTAACTTTATTTATTTATTTATTTTAGTAACTTTATATAATTTAATATTTAAGTATTAAAAGTTAGATCACACACATGCATTTCTTCTTCTTGATGGCATTGTTTCTTCATGAGGCCTGTGCACCTCAAATTCTGCATTCCTTCCCAGTCTGCCTTCAGTCTGGACTGCTGGTTAGCAGTCCCCAAGACAGACGGTGTAAGTGGTGAGAGCCATCTGTATTTAAAAGTGAGATGTTTTGTGAGATGTTTATGCTCCTCTAATCCTGGGTGCTGGTTGCTAATTCTGTGGACCCTTTAGAGTCATCCCAACTATGGGCACCAAGGAGTTTAACGGACATTTCCATTAAGCTGGGAGTACTTTAGGGAGCTCAGGTAGTTACCCAACCCATAGACCCCCCCTCATCCCCCCTTGCCTAGAGCCTCAGGAAGCCCTGTGGGTTAGGATGCCTTGGCTCACCAGCAGGGAGTTTGGTATTGTGTGCATTTCCTGAAATTTTAGTTTCCTGGAATCCTTAGGGATTGTTCAATAAGTTATTCTCAATTATCCACTATTTTTTTTTTTTTTTGGGACAGCTGATGATCTTCCTTTTATACTCCCTAACGTTTATTTGAGTCTTAATTTTGGATGGAAATCTTTTGAAATGTGTTTTTGGTCTTTCGTTTCCTTTTAGAGTATATTACATGTAATTTAATCTTTTTGAGGATGAAGGATCATCATTATAAGCATCTTTAAAACTGAGCATGTGCAAAGCTCTAGGAACTCTATTCCCTGCTGGGGGTGCTGAATGAACACATCAGGCTTCTTGCCCTAAAGGAATTGTAACTGTGTTATCAGATAAGTTAGGTTATAATGAGATAAATAGGACAGCTGAATGACTGTTGTTCTTTTGGGTTGTTAAGTCTGTGCCACCTTGAATTTTCTGGTCCCAAATTCAGTGTAGTTTCCTCTATAATGTCTGGTGAGTGCAGACTTCTCCCAGAAGTGAACTGGTGAGAGAATATCTCAATGTGGTCATGTCTATTTTTGCTACCTTTCTGGTTTTTGACCACATTGCAGAGAGGCAAGGTTGCTGAACAGCTGAATTCTAGAGAGGTGAATTTATATAGCTTGTCATTAAATCCTTAAGTGAGGCTTATTAGGTGGTTTCATTAAACAAGTTGATATATTTAGCCTGACTATAGTACCTCACACATGCTGAGCACGTGATAGACATTCATGATTAGCACAATTACTAAAAACACTTTTTCTGCTGTTATATTTATAGTAATAGGTTACAATCAAAATTTTAAAACAACTGCAGGCCTATAGATCCCTTTGGACTGACACCTCTAAATATTTCTTTCTCTAAACTACTTGTACCTTTCTCACGAAAGTTCTTATCTTTCTCCATACTGTAGAGTAAAAAACCTCATCACTTAGTGAAACCCTGACATTATGTCCCAACAGATTTTATTCTTCTGCGTTTAGAGGTGTTATTACTAGTACTTACCATTTTTATCATGTGTAAGAGTCATTCTGTCTATTGGATTCAGTTTCTATTGAAGATATTAATTTGAAATAGATAATTTCCTTATAATACATGATCTTCTGAGCCAGGGAATAATTGGAAGCTCTCACTTCAGAGTTTTGTGACATTGGAGATTGTTATGAACAGATGTTAACAAAGAGAGTAGTTTTTTGGTAGTTTGCTTATTGCCTGTTTTTAATTCTTCTGAAAGAGGCAATAAAATGAGTAGTGACTTTTTTAAGAGTATCTCTCTAATAAGTGAGATTTCTTCATTCTTTTTGTTAACCTTCTGTTTTGTTTGCATAGAAAAACTGACCCTGCAAATAATGATTACTCAATTGTAGCTTTGTGTCTTGGGTTCTTAAAAGGTTAATTGATTATCCTTCAAAATAAAATTATAAATGGGATCCCAATCTCTTGCTTATTAACTGTTCTTCCTGGCTGTGGATGTCAGCCTTTTTTTGGTCTTATGATATTGGTTCTTCAATTAAAAAATAACTACTTAAAAAAAACCAATAGCCTTGTTTGAATTTTGTTTATAATGAATTAAAAGATAAAGAGTAATCACATTTAGTGTCACATTTAACATGTTCCTTTTATTATAAATAATAAAGTTAATAAAATTCATGGTCTGTGAAAAATCCAAGAAGTTTCATCTTTATATATATGAGACAGAGTTATTTTTCATCCAAAACAGTGTTCTTGCTGGAATGCAAAGCACACGATAAAGTCTGGAAGAGAAGATTTTACCTGTGATGAGGTACATTGTGATCATCATGGCTATGGGCTTGGAGCCAGTTTTAGTGATTGAGGTCTCCATGAAAGTCCATAGCCAATCATAGATATGTCATCAGTGAGATCTTATCTGACTATTTTGTAATTTAAATTTTTGCCTTACACTATATCTTAGGATGGGGATAACACATTCAATGAATTTACTGACCACTAAGTAGTATAGATGAATTTTAAATTGCCTTAAAATGACTTGTTTAGATTTTAAGAGTTCCTTCAATAATTATCGATTCCTACTGTGTGCCAGGCACTGTTTAAGACACTGGTTTGAAACAGTAGACAAATTAAAAAAAATCCACTTATATTTTAGTGGGGGAGATGGCCAATAAATAAATAAATAGCTATATAATATGATGTGTTATGAAGAGATTTGAACCTAAGTATGGTTGGTGCTAGGGTGAAATGTGATTTGATTTTAGAGAAAGTAGTCAGGAAGGTTTTTCTGAGGGGTTCATAATTGAGCGGAAACCTGAAGGGAGTGAGTAAATGAGGTGTGGGAATGTGGATGTTTGCAAGAATATTCCTGGCAGAAGGAACACCAGTGTGAAAGTCCTGAGGTAATTAAATTGTGGGTGTGCTAGAAGGTCTGCGCAGCTGAAGGAGAGTGAGTGTGTGGGAAAGAGCGGTAGGGATGAGGTCAGAGAGAAAACAGAGGTCAGATTTCCACCTTGAGGCAAATGGGAAGTCACATGACCCGCACTACCTTTCCAACAGGTCCCTCTGACTGGTCTGTTGAGAATGGAGTGTAAGCAGCAGGCTGTGAGCGGTTAGATTAATGTCATTGTTCAGCCAAGAGATGATGGTTTTGATTAGAGCAATAGCAGAGCAGATAGTGATAAATAGTTCATTTCTGGATATATTTTTGAAGGTAGAACCAGCAGGATTTGTTGATGGAATCAAATTAGGGGTATGAGAAAAAGAGAGGAGCCAAGAATGATCCAGGATTTTTGGTCTGAGGAATTAGAATGATGGAGTTTCCATTTACTGATAAGGAGAAGACTGGAGGAAAAATAGCTTTGGGGCTATTTCCGGGGCTAGAGGGAGGAAAAGCTGGTGCTAGTTATGTTTGAAATTCCAGTAGATATCTAGGTGGACATGCTGAGCAGGCAGTTGGAGGTGTCAGAGATGTACGTGTAAATTTTGGAGTTGTCAGGAGATAGGTGGTATTTAGAATCATAAGCCTGGACGATAAACACCTTGGGACTGGTGTAAAAGGAAAAGGCCCAAGGAGTGAGCCATGGGCCTATGTGTCAAGAATGGAGAGATGCAGGCCCCTGTCAAGGAGGAGCAGGAATGGCCAATGGATGAGAGGGAGACCAGCAGAGGGAGGTTCCAGGAAACCAAGTGGATAAGGTGTTTCTAAGAGTGATCAAACATGTCACATGCTGCTGCTGGAGCCAGCAAAACAAGGATTGAAGATAGACTATTTTATTAAGTCATGAAAAGTTTCTTAGTGACCTTGACAAAAACTGAGTTGGTGGGTGATGGGCAGCTGGTCTACCCAACCGGAGAAGAAGAATCTCAGAGGAGAGTATCTAGACAGCAAGTGTAGATATCTCCGTGGAGCTAAATTTTGCTATAAAGAGAGCAAAAAAATGCAGTGGTAACCAGTAGAGGAAAAGAGATCAAAGGTGATTTTCTTCTCTCACATTCTTTTATTTTATACTTATTCAA